TTGTGTATGTAGTTATCACTTGTGTGTGTATAGTTCTGAACTTGTTTGTGTGCAGTTATGTGTGTGTGTGTGTGTGTGTGTGTGTGTGAGTGTGTGTGCAGATATCATTTATAAGTGTGGTTATCTTGTGTATGTAGTTATTGTGTGTGTGTGACAGTGTGTGTGAGTGTGTGTGTGTGCTCAGTCGTGAACTCTGACGCAGTGTGTGTGTGTGTGTGTGTGTGTTCTCCTCAGGTTGTGGGGCCGCGGGGACCGTCCGGGCCGATGGTAAGAGCTCCTGCATTCCTGGCATTCTCTGCTCTCTATTAGCATTAGCATTAGCATTAGCGCTCAGAATCTCTCCCTGCTTTACTCCACAGGGTCCGCCGGGAGAACAAGGCCCACGCGGAGACCGGGGAGAGAAGGGGGAGAAGGTGGGCACCATTTCCTGCTGCGCTCGCGGCCTGTGTACTGACTGAAGACATCATTTATAGATAAACACACACCTCCAGTGCGCTCCACACAAACACACACACACACACACACACACACACACACACACACACAGCGTTTACTTCACTGAACACTTCTACAGGCCTTAAGAAAACAGGAGCCTGCTCAAACGCAGCACTAGTGCACTACACTGACAGCAGGAGTGAGGGAGCACACTTCTCAGAGTATACTCAATATTGTCTGTAGTGTACTTGACTCATACTGACACAGAGCTCTCAGCATATCTGGCCTAACCCTCTTCACCGTCATGATCTCTACAGTCTATCACGTGCTCTGAGTGTACTCGAGTGGCCGACTAAATATTTCTTTCACATAAAATGACACACAGCCCAGTTTTCAGAGGTAGTTTCAGTGTTTCTCTCTTATACGCCTGTTTAACACCTCTGTCAGTGATAATATGAAGATGATTAGTATACTTGACACCCACAGGCAGTATACTACACCTCCTATATTTATTGTAGACTATGCTCAGTGATAATGGCAACTCATAGGCTACTGTAAACAAGTGCCCTTGCAGTATAACACTGTAAACTGCGAGTTAGCTAGAGCACACTGACAGTATTAAGCTAGTAAACGAGTAGACTAGTGACATTACACATCAGCTGTATGTTCTCAGACTGGGTTCTGGAGACACCTGCTCTAGGTTCACAGTGTGCACTACAGGTATTTACACAGTGCACTACAGACTGGGCAGGATCAGTCCAAAGCTGTATTCCAGTAGTACACTATAACAGACACACGAATGTTTACTTAGAAATGCAGTACACTACAGAACATGCATGTGGTGTACAGTTGTGTGTGCAGCGCAGGGCTCTGAGCAGGGGGATCAGCTTAATAAGAGCTTTGTCAGAATTAGAGACGGTCTGTGTAGTTAGAGAAGGCAGCATCAGCGGCGTCCGCACCTCACACCAAACCTGCAGCTAATGATGCTTCATTACAGTCCAAAGATGGTCTGCCGGGCTGTGTGTTCAGTCTGCAGCTGTCAGACACTCACACTGACCTCTCCGAGAGTCCAGGCTGATTCTCAACTCCTTCACTGTTGGTTTAGGGAAGTCCGGGCCCTCGGGGACGAGATGGAGAGCCGGGAACCCCAGGAAACCCTGGACCTCCAGGACCTCCAGGACCCAACGGACCACCAGGCCTTGGCGGAGTGAGTATCTGTCAGTGAGTCTGTCTGAGACACTAACCCTAACTAGCATTACTTAACCCCAACCTAGCTTGACTGACCCTAACTATCATTAACTGACCCTAACTCTTTTCCTGCAACCTTAACTAAGCTTAACTAACCCTAACCCTAACCCAACACTGCCTAATGCTGCATTCCCTCCAAACACAGTCTACATGTGCACTGAGTCACTCGCTGCAGTTACCTGCCGGGAGAATCCTGACTTCAGTTTTACACTCGAGTTTAATTTTTATTTAGTTTGCACGACAGATGTGATCGAGGCGAATACACACGACAGATGTGATCAAGGCGAATACACACGACAGATGTGATCGAGGCGAATACACACGACAGATGTGATCAAGGCGAATACACACGACAGATGTGATCCAGGCGAATACACACGACAGATGTGATCGAGGCGAATACACACGGCAGATGTGATCGAGGCGAATACACACGGCAGATGTGATCGAGGCGAATACACACGGCAGATGTGATCGAGGCGAATACACACGGCAGATGTGATCGAGGCGAATACACACGGCAGATGTGATCCAGGCGAATACACACGACAGATGTGATCGAGGCGAATACACACGGCAGATGTGATCCAGGCGAATACACACGGCAGATGTGATCCAGGCGAATACACACGGCAGATGTGATCGAGGCGAATACACACGGCAGATGTGATGTGCTTTTAACACCATTTGCTCTCTCCAGGAGACATTCACCTCTATTCATGAGTTTGCATGTAATCTGCTAGCTGCATCGGTGTATAACCCTAACCCCTAACAGTGTCTCTGACAGTGAGACTTTGTGTGTGTGTGTGTGTGTGTGTGTTTGTGTGTTCTGTGTGTGTGTGTGTGTGTGTGTGTGTGTGTTTGTGTGTGTGTGTGTGTGTGTGTGTGTGTGTGTGTGTGTGTGTGTGTGTGTGTGTGTGTGTGTGTGTGTGTGTGTGTGTGTGTGTGTTTGTGTGTGTGTGTGTTTTAGTTCATAAAGAGACATTTGTCAACACATACACACACACAAACACACACAACAGTATTAAACAGTATTTTTATCCCGGAACCCTAAACACACCGTACAGAAACATTTAGTGCGCACAATGTAGCATAAACACACACACACTCACACACACACACACACACACACACACACACACACACACACACACACACACACACACACACACACACACACACACACACACACACACACTCACACACACAG